CACAAATGAATACACATACTTTTGTAACAACAGTTTTAAAAATTAACATGAACTAATATCACTATTTTTCTCATTATGGCAGGTAGTAGTACACAAATATTTTTTATGTTTCAAAAAGGACACTTTTACTCGTTCCCACATGTGAGGCAAGCTGTGACTTTCAAACATCGCATAATTTCAAATTCAGTTGCCTCCATTTTGAAGTTCTAAAGTCTTCAGTATTCTAGAGGAGAATTTTCTGGGACGCGTCTTTGATTAACAAGATTTTACTTATTTAAACTATAGTATTACTAAGTAACTCAGATTTAGTATGCTTAAGTCATTTGGGAATTCCATAACAAATGGGCTTTTGTTGGCAAGACAATCAATTATTTGAACAAGTGTAGTTTTTGTTGCCTTCTCAAAAGGAAATTTTAATTCTACCCTAAGAAACCTGGGAGAAATCTTTGAGATTAGCAGTGAAATATGACTCTAAAATGAGTTTAAGATATAGTTCTTTTTTTCCCATTGTCAATACAAATGCTGTGGTTTTATATTAAATTAACTAATATAGTTATTTATTTCATAAAAATGACTAGTGACAATGTATTATAGGGGAAATACTGTTTACTTGTGGTCTACAAAGCCTATGATGTAGAACCAGGCCACACATACACATGCATGCACATACACATACACAGTTTTGTTTAACAGAGGCTCCAACAATGAAATAATTTGGCCAGCACTAGACAGTTAATAGTAGAAGCAAGATTTAATTCAGTGTTTGCTTAATTAAGAGCTAGCTTTGACACAGAACGTCTGGGTTTGGTTAACCAATAATTACCTGTGTGACTTTGATATAATCATCATCTCTGGCCTCAGTTTCCTCATCTGTAAAATGGGAACAGTGATACTGCCTCTGTCATGGGGTGCTTTGAAAATTAAATGTGGGAATGCATATAATGTACATAGCATAGTGTCTGACACATAGTGACCACTCTAAATATTAAAACTAGGTCCTGTTATTTTTATCATACTCCATTTTCCTTAAAGTGAATATTAGTAAAATGGATTGTTTCAGTCTAATTTGTCAATAAATTCTAAAGTTGTGAAGATTTTGAGGAAATCGCTTTCAAATTCTGACCTTCAGTTTTTTTCATCAGTAAAATGGAGATAATAATTCTTTCCCAGACTCTTTTGCAGGTTGTTATAAAAGAATTAAGTTAAATTAAGAGATCAAAACTGCTATGCATGAATTAAGATGTTACAGAAACCTGAATGAACTTTTGGCCAACCATATATATATATGTAACTTTCACATTCCTAAGAGTTTATCTGTTTTAGGAATAAGGTGTTGCTTTGTTTAGTTTTGATTTACTTATATGTCTTCTACAATTTTAAGTGTCTCCAGGAAAGGGTGTGCAAGTTCTTTTTGAAACTCATCACTGGTTTCAGTGTTTCCTCTTTTTCATAGAGAAATGCTCAATTTAGCAATAGAGCAAATTGGACACTTTCTCACCATTTGTTTTTCCACACAAAGGAAGGCACAGTAGTCTCAAGCTGACGTAAAGGATGTTTCTTGATATCTTCAACTTCAACTTATCTCATTTGACAGGAGAGGCTGATTTATGTTGCCAGATCAGTTCTTTCAGAAAAAATCCACTTTTCAGATGCTGCGCTTCATTTAGTGACTTTCCAGGCACTTCAGCTCCTTTGTGGAAAGAGCTAGATCATGGATATAAATATAAAGAGACAAAAATAGCAACTTTCCTTGTAGCTGAGTATAACACCTTAATTCAGCATGGGCAAAATGAACTGAATTTATAGATGTTATCTGGCCATATTATCTTTTAAATGATTAATTGAAAGCTAGAAGATACAGTACCCTTGCAAAATAATTCTGAAATTTCTCTTTAATTTATTCTTTTTTTCTATCCTCTGGATTTGGGCCTTTATTGTTTTTAATTCAGGCTATTGCTGTAGTCTCCTAAAGACACCCACCCTCTCTAATTATCTAGCCTGTTTATAATCCAGTGTCCACCTGGTTGCCTGAGAGGGACATTTTTTTCTGATACAGATCTGAGCCTGTTATTCTTTTAGTTTCTTTCCAGCACCTACAGGACAAAAATGCGCACCTTGTGCATGACAGTGCTTACAAGAAAGGCTAGCTTTCTACATCCCTTCATTGCTTAGTGTGGCCCTGATGTCTTTCAGTCTAGCTCTGCCTGCTCTGATATTTCATTTTCCTCTGCCTTTTCCCACATTTACAAATTCTTAGTCATCCAGAATATCTTGATGTTCCCCAAAGAAGGTTTACACTTCCATATTTTTATGCCCTTTTCCATTATTTTCCTCTCTTCCCTGCCTGGCAAATTTGTCTCCATCTTTCCAGAGTCAGCTTCTTTGTGCCATGATTATGTGAAGATTTTCTTGCCTGCCCTTCTCCCACCAGAGACATTCAGCTCCTCCACCTTTTGCTTTCAGAGCACTTGATACAAAGGCATGTCTAAGATTCTTGAAGATTAGTCTGCCGTGTTGTGTACGTATCTGTTTCTCTCTTTAGATGGTGAGTTCCTTGAGGGTAGAAACCACCTGTTTTCTTTTGAGTCATTAGTGCTGAAAATATTTCCTGGTACAGAATGTTAGACTGTAGTGGCTCAGTGCTTTAATTGCAGTTCAGACAGACTTCGGTGGGAAGTCCAAAGTTATTACTCACTAGCTGTGTAATCTTGGGAAACTTACCTAATTCCACTTGATGTTAGCTTTCTCATCTGTAAAATGTAGACAAAATACCTATCTCATAAGAATGTTGTAAAAATCAAATGAGTTAATATATGTAAAACTTTTAGAACAGCATCTGGCACGATGACTGAAGTCACTATTAGCAATGAATATTTATAGTTTTCATTATTATTACTAGTTCTCACAATTTTTGGAAAGATTGCAAAAGACTGATCAAACCTAGGAAGTGTTTGGCATAGTAACTGGCATAGAGTACATGTTCAATGCAGATCGGATATTTTTTATGATTATTACTTTTATTATTAAAAATTGTTGAAGAGATGAATTTCCTGTTTTCTTAGCTGTTGCCCATCAGAAAACATTCCTGGAAATTATACTAGCTCCAGCACTCAGTATGTCCAAAATTTATCTTAATATTTCCTCTAAAACCAGCTTGTGTGAAAATGCTCAGTAAAGCAGCCACTTAAACACTTTCTTCTTCCCTCTCTCTCTCTCCCTTCCTCTCCCTTTCCTTTTCCGATTTGTTCCCTAACTATCCCATTTCAGTCACCTTGCTCTTGGTGTTTTGAGCTACAATCCCTGAAATTACTTTAAACTCTGGTTCCCATAATTTCAGTCTTTGAAATATGTCTGGGATACATATGTTTGTTTCCTTTCCCAGTGCCATTTCTTTGTTGAAGTTTATATCACCTGCCACCTGGATCACTTCCTATTTTTCTGTTGCCCCTCCAGGGCAGGGACCAAGAATCACTACAGTGCAATGCACATGATCGAGGAAGGGTCAAAACCTGAACTGCCACGGGGGCACACAGGAATGTTAATGAGTGTAGCCAAGCAGAGAGCCATGGTGACCATGACATATGGGAGTGGTCATGTCTTATCTATAGCAGAGTGTTACTATACAGGAAAGTGCCTGCCCATTGCTTCCATATGGGAATGCTGGCAGTATTGGATCTTCTGATGTTTTAGGGGAAACTGCTTATCTGTACATGGAATCTGCTGATATGTAAATTATGGCAACTACTTAAAATTTAAAAATCAAATTGTTTGGACTAGACAACCCAGGTCAGTTCTAGCATATAGGTCATGATGTCTAAAAAGATGTTCAAGAGATACTTACAAGAACAGATGGATCCAGGACTCATTCTCTAGTTCCCCCACACTCCCCCAAGCCTCTGATGAACCTCTTCCTGCTTCCTGGATTTCCCCTCTTACTTAACCCTACCTCAAAATTCTATTTATGTTTCTCTTTTTTCATACCATTCCTGACAATTTCTCATACCAACTGAGAATCTGCTGTGTTCTAAGCACTGAAAGTGAATTGATAATAAGGAAACATTATCCCTGAAACTATTGACAAGATCACAGACAAAACCAGGTTGTTCATGGTAGTGGTAAATAGAAACAATAATCTAATTATCTTGAAAAATCTAGTTTTCTTCTCTTTCATTGCTCTTGGAGGATAATCATAAATTAAATATTATGTCCATAATTGATCTGTAAGTATTTCAAATTTTACAAATGTTTAACCAGATCGTGGGTTCCTCAGTGGCAAGGAATACCTATTAAATATGATTTATATTCAGTGCTCCTATAGATCAGCAAATAGGCAGGTATATAAATGACAACAAATAATTACTTACAAGTCCAGTTAGTACAGGGAGTTGGTTAGTTATTAGATCAGTTAGGAAGGGAATCTCATTAATGCAAAATTCACAGAATCTTTCAAAGCAGAGCCAAGATCTTTGCTTTAGCCATGGACCCATTGATTGGGAGCTTCCCAGAGGGCTCAGTGGTAAAGAATCTGCCTGCAATGTAGGAGACATGGGTCTCCTCCCTGGGTCAGGAAGATTCCTGGAGGAAGAAATGGCAACCCGTTCCTGAATTCTTTTCTGAAAGATTCCATAGGCAGATAACTGGCAGGCTATAGTCCCTGGAGTCGCAAAGAGCTGGACACAACTGAATTACTGAGTACACACACACACTCACACTGAGTGGTTGATCACACACTGATTATCGATCACAGTTGATGCTCTTGAATGGTTGTGCTCATAAGTTCTAATATTTTCAGTTTCTTTAAACTGAAGCAAGACATAAAGGACATTTCATAGAAACTTGAACGTGTAGGCTTCCTAGATTTTTACACTTTTCTCCTGGTCTTTTACAATGGTCTTGCTGATGTTCAGTTGTTAAGTTGTGTCCGACTCTTTGCGGCCCCATGGACTGCAGCATGCCAGGCTTCCCTGTCGTTCACTATCTCCCGGAGTTTGCTCAAACTCATGTCTATTGATTTGGTGATGTCATCCAACCATCTTATTCTCTGTCACTCCCTTTTCCTCCTATACACAATCTTTCCTAGCATCAGGGTGTTTTTCAATGATTTGGCTCTTCACATCAGGCAGCCAAAGTACTGGAGTTTCAGCATCAGTCTTCCCAATGGATATTCAGGGTTGATTTCCTTTAGGATTGACTGGTTTGATCTCTTCATTCTCCAACGGACTCTCAAGAGTCTTCACAAGCACCATATTTTGAAAACATCAGTGGTCTTGCTCACTACTAATTTGATAATAGTGTCTTTTACCACATTGTCTTTACAATAGTTGCTATATAGCAATCATCTGTGTTTTCATGTAAACAACAATTAGCTATATAAAAGCATATTTTTATTAGTTTACATGATTTTTAATCAATTTTTCTAACAACATTAAGAAGTAAAACTAGAATAAAGAGTATGGGAACAAATATCACTGACTTTTTATCAGCTTATTACTGAACTAGGGAGAAGTAAATTTTTGGTGTTCTAGGAACAAGTCCACCAGCCTTAGATATTCTCTGTGTCATGGTATAGCTTCATCTTTTACAAAATGAATAGAAACTATTGATTCTATGAGGTCAGTTATGTGAAGTTTTAGTTAAGTCTGCTCTATTACTGACTGAATTAGATAACATTTGTTGGATTCTTTATAATACTATTACTACTACAAATAATATTAATTTCTCGCCTATTTCCATGTTCAGTGGTACTTTTAAGGTGCATTTACTTATATTATTGTACTCTTATGAATCCCTAAGAATAAGACATTTTTCTCTTTTGACAGATGAGAAATATAATTTTCAGAGACGTTGAAATGACTTCCTTAAGAGCTTGTAGCTTGAAAATAACAAGAGTGGAGGCTCTTGCCCTGTCACAGTCTGATCAAGTCCAGCACTCTTCTTGCTTCCCTAGTGCTACCTCTCCAAGCTGAACTCCAAGGATTCTTTCAGCTCTAACATGCCCTGATTCTGTGATATATTAGCAATATCCTGTACACATCATCCATTCTACTGCTAAGACCTAGCCATCCCCTAATAGCTCTGTAGCCACTGGTTTGACAAGGAGGGGAGAAAGAGATTAAGTCGAGGGTCCAATTAGTTTCAGACAGGTTGGGTAAATGTTTCACAACATTTCTTAGTTAGTCCCTCTCTCCTTTGATGAATGATTCTTGCCTCTTTTTGACAGATTGATCTTGAGTGCTGGGTATTTTTCTCTCAGCACATGAGCTGCCAGTTTTTTAGGCTGTCCCCGCTAGGACCAAGATGAGGTGAGAGGTAAGTTGTTTGTACGTATGACTTGACTAAGCAATGCAACCAGGCGGAATGTTCAGAAAGCCCTTCTGTGCTTGGAGACTGCTTTCATGTCTTAGAAATCTTGATTTATTTCAGGACAGGGAAAATCCAAGCCAGCTCTCAGAGTGGAAATTAAAATCTTAAAAACTGTGTATGAAAATTGAATATTCCGAATGGCCTGGTTTAAACATCACTCTGCATCGTTGATCAAATGTAAAAGTTCTTGAAAAGAAGCAGGGGGATTTATGACTAGGTGTAGGACTGGGGAAAGGCTTGGAGAATATTTATGGGTAACTTCAAGGAATTTCAATGACTGTACTTTCACCTGATTTTGTACCCTCAAGTTTCTGCTTTGGCAATTTCAAGCCTGCAAATGCTTATGGGTTGAAAAATATTTTGCTTTGGCTGTATTCTGTTAACTTCTGAATTTAGGGGTGAGAGAGACACTATATATATTTATTTGGACACATTTATCATGCTGTGTGTAAGTATGTGAACATATGTTTTTATTCTTTTAGATTTATCTGTGACTTTCTTGAGGACAGGACCTTTGCTTTCACTATATCTATACCTTCAGACCTAATATAATATCTGGAAAATAGGAGGCTCCCCATAAATGCTTTATTGATGCATATTGTTTAGTTAACCTTTGTTGAGCACGTTTTTATGCTGAGTCCATGCTGGCTTCTGAGGGGTTATGTAGACAAAGGAGAGAGTGGGGAATTTCAAAATAAACTATACTTTAAAACATAAAAGAATGTATTTTAAAAGATGAAGCATAAAGACAGCTTCCCTTATACATTACGACTGACTCCTGAACAACTTGGGGCACTAACCCTTGTGCAGTTCAAAGTCCACATATAACTTATAGTCAGCCCTCTGCACCTACGCTTCCTCCATATTTGTGGCTCTATATTCATGGATTCAACCTGAAGAGGACCTTGTTGTGTAGTACTATAGTATTCACCATCGAAAAAAAAATCTGTAAATTGATCAGTACAGTTCAAATCCATATTGTTCAAGGATCAGGTGTAATTTCCTTTGGCAACCTTCAATAGCTAGCCCTGCAGGTCCATGGGGGTTGATCATTTCATGTATTTATCTCAGGTGTATTGCAAAGAGTCAGAGAAACCAATCAGTGTTTATTCTCCTTTCAACTGATGAAGAAAGAGATTGATGTACATGTATAATACTGGCTGTTGGATTGGTTGGTAACAATGGTGTAAACACCATCAACGAATTCCAAAACAGCTTTAGGCACTTATTTCCATGTAAATTATATTACTTAATTTTCTGAAATGTTTTATAGGATTGGCAGTATAACACATATTTTTAAAATGATGTTCCTCTTCCTAGAAGATCTTTCTTCCCTTTGCCGTCTGTTCAATATACCTGATCTTTCAGGATCCAATGCCAGTGAGACCTCTTCTGTGATTGCTTTTCCTCCAATCCCAGCCAGATTCATAGGCTTCTTCCTTTCTGCTTCTGTAAGACCTTGCATATACATTGAGCATGGCACTCAAGCAATTGAAATCCTTTCTGCATGTTTGAAAATGAGCTCCTCAAAGCAGCTTCCCCATCATTTTCCTCATCACATGAATTGCACTTAAACCCACCCGGTTGCTCAATGTAGAATTCTAGGAACTTTTCTTGCTGTGTTCTCTACCTTTTCATTCCATATCTGTGGCCCCAAAGAACTTTGCATTTTACCCCCAGCTAAACTCCTCTCACCTGTGCTGCCCTCACTTCAGTTCTCCTCAACCTCATGTCTCTTCAGACTGTGGCAGCAGCCTTCTACCAGGTCTCATTGTTTCTACTCTCATGGGTCGTGTGGCTTCCCTGGTCAGGAGAGTCCAGTGCATTTCCATGGCAGCTAAGCTAAAATTCGCAGATCTTAACATCATATCCGGGACCCTGTGTGGTCTGGCTCCTCCCCACCTCTCCAGCCCCATCTTGTACCCTTGCTCACTGCACTTCAAACAGTTTGGCTGCTCCTTTGCCAAATGCTTTTCTACCTCAGGCTGCTATCTCTGCCTGGGATGCTCTTTCTGTCATTCTTCACCAAGTCAGCTGTTGCTCAATCTTCAGATCTTAGCTCAAATGTTGTTTTCACAGAGTGGGCTTTATGAAGCTTCTGGAGTCCTCTTCAGAGAAGTCTATTCTTTTTCTTTATAGCATCAATCAGAGCATGTATGCATGCAAGCGTGTATATGTTTGCTTATGTCTGTCTTCTCCACTGGAATGCAAGATTTGTTGGGGAAGAGATGTATCCATTTGTTGCTTTTTCACTATTATATGTCAGAATTTAATGCCTGAGGGTACACTGGGCATTTGCTAAGTATTTATAAAAATGTAAATGAATGTATGAAAACTGAATTCTTCATATGTGACTATCACATTGGTACTAATGGGTCCCTTATTTTTGTTTAGAGTGTTTCTCCATGGTAAAGCTAAGCAAAGTATGTTTTGCTAAATATCGACTGGCTGTCGGTTTCTTTTGAGTTCCACCTTCCTGGCACCAAACAGCATTTGGAAGGTGCCAGTTGCCCCATTTATGAGAAGCACCCATCCGAAAATGTCCCCCTCTTGCTATTTGCCTATAAGCGGTCCATACCTTCACTCACCTGCCCCACAATCCAAGTAAGGATGAGTCTCTTTACTTTACTGAGGTCTGTTCAGCAAGCCATTTTAGCCCCATGTCATACTGAGGAAACTGCGGCAAACAAAATATGAAGTGACTTGGCTGAGGTAGAGCAAGGTCTCCTGCCTGCCTGCTGAAGAAGATAGATGAAACAGACAGGGAAAGTGGAGAGACCACGTGTCTGGCCCAGGCTGGCATCAAGGCCACTGCAGCACTTAACCTCCTGTGCTTAACTTGAAGTGCCCTGGTGGTCTAAGAAGGGAGCCCAAACACATCCAACTTGGTGCCAGTAGAGAAACTCTCACTCTGAATATTTCCCAAAGAACATTTTTATTGAAAGAAATATAGCCAAATGAAAAGACACACAGAGGGATTTCTTATTCATTTCCCTGTATGTGTGTGTATTTTTCTCTTTTGTGTTCTTGACCACCCTGACATTATAGTTTTATTTTGAAATTTTAAAATAATTTCCCTGTAACTCATTCATCTTTCTGTCCTAAGGTAGAGGGACTGTTCACATTTTCCAGCCAGTCTTAATGTAGTAGAAACAATCAGAGGTCCTGCTGTGTAGCTAGGTGCTGGAGGAGGGAGCAGAGTTGGAGCAGGTGGGCTGGGCTAATAAACAGAGCTGAAAAACAGGAAACAGGAGAGGAATTTCCCCAAGTTGTCCTAAGCTGGAGCCTGGCCATGCTCTCCTGTGAAGCCTAGCCCAACTCTGGTTTCCTACCCAATTCCTTCCTGGGATTGAGAAGCTGTTCCCATCTTGGTCCTTCATTGCTCTCTGTCACAGCACCCTGCCTTCATCCCCACACTGAGCTCTGCCTCCCACGTGTAAGACAGGACTGTCAGCAAGCTCATTCCTGCTTCTTGCCCTGATGCTGAATTGCTGGTTAGGCTTATGGCAAAAACAGCATCAAATTTACAAACATGCATCCTCCCTATCCTCACCAATTTGCTCATTTTTGCAAGTAAGCCAGAAGAGAGCTCCCTCTGAATATAAAACAAAACAAAAAACAAAAAAACAAACAAAAAAATCCCACATCCTCAGTTGGTCTTAAAGGATATGGCATAATTTATTCCAACTTGCTTTTTGTTTATTTCATTGTTCCAAACGTGAGCTCACTCAATCCACCTATAAACTGAGTTCCAGATTACCTTCCTGAAGCTTATCTCTGAGAGTATCATTCAGACTCTTCTGTGGTTTCCCTCGGGGCCTTTGTTGGATGCTATTTCCTTTGCCTTGAATGGCCTTTCCTAGGATTTTCCTGTCATTACTGAATTCTCTAGACTTAAATCTAATTTTGCTTCCTCCACCAAGAAGTCTTCTCTGAGGACATAAGGGAGAGAGTCCATGCTCTGGCACTGAAGTCTCTGGGTTTGAATCCCAAATTATTCTCTTGTTAATTTGTGCAATTTAGAACCATTTGCTTTATCCTTGCCTCAGTTGTCATATCTGTATGATGAGGATAGTATTTGTATCTATTTCATAAGACTGTTGATAAGACTGGGTTAAGGAAGTGGTTAGAATAGTTAAGTACTCAGTAATCCTCTACACAATCACGATCGAGCTGGATTTCCATAATAGTTACTGAGTTTTCATTCATCCCTTAAATTTTTTTCAAGGTTATTAGTGTTCTAGGCACTTGGTTAGGTACTAGAAAGAGCGTATTCTCAGGCAGGTATGCTGTGTCTGCAGTATTGCCTATTTGTCTCCTGCTCTTGCTCTCAGGCTATAAAAACTACAAAGGTAGAAACTTCCCTTCCTTTCTGAAGACCCCGCATGGTAGTTTCTCAGTGAATGTACTCTAGATTGAATTCCACTTTTCTATGGATTAAAGGAGTATAGACATGGGTCCTGAAGGATCCACATTTTACCATCTGATTGGCCCTCATCCCATAGATGATATGGGTTGAAGGATAACTTTTGATAACCTATGAAGCTCACATTGCATGTAACAGGATAATGTGCTAATGACACAACCACCACCAAGAGTACTGGTATCACCGCTACCCTCACCCTCATGTACACTGCCACCATCATCAGCATCACCATTACCACCACAAATGCCATCATGACAACTGTCACCATTATATACAGTATCGTCACCACCACCATAACCACCACTAATCACTGCCAGCTCCACCACCATCACCATAAAGAGGTGTATTATAATGTTTATTATAATATAGACAAAACAAATTAACAGACATTGCTTACCTTCAAGATTACCCAATAACTTTATGAATTATTTTTATCTACATTTGATGGGTGAGAGAAGTGAGTTTCAAATGCAATCAGTTTCTTAATTTATATATTTTCCATTTTAGAAATAAAAATGATACAGTGATTTTACAGCATATATTCTCTTTTCCCTCCAGATCCTCTGTTCACCCTACTTTTCACTTGATATGTACCCCAAGAAGCTGACCTCAACAGACTGAATCATCTAGGTACCCTTCTTCTCTATCATTCAGCCACATTCAACCAATGGAAGCTGTTAACAGGAGACTGGAAGGAGGGAGGAGAGAGATTCTATGTTTATTCCCATCCGTTCTACACTTTTATAGACATTGCTCTTCCTTTGGGACAATTTTCTCCAGCAGCTCCAGTTCTCTCTTGGTTCTAAAAACTGCTTCCTCCTCTTTCTTCTGACTTAGGAATAGTAATGTAGAAGGCAATGGCACCCCACTCCAGTACTCTTGCCTGGAGAATCCCATGGATGGAGGAGCCGGGTATGGAGCTGCAGTCCATGGGGTCGCTAAGAGTCGGACATGACTGAGTGACTTCACTTTCATTTTTCACTTTCATGCATTGGAGAAGGAAATGGCAACCCACTCCAGTGTTCTTGCCTGGAGAGTCCCAGGTACAGGGAGCCTGGTGGGCTGCCGTCTATGGGGTCGCACAGAGTCGGACACGACTGAAGCGACTTAGCAGCAGCAGGAATAGTAACAACTTCCAGGTGTTGCTAGACATCAAGGTATTTTGTCATCCTTGTTGCTTCTCCTTAACCCTGATCACACTCCTGTGAGTAGTCTTGTAATTAAATACTTTTCAGTTATCTCTTGAGCATGCCACTTGTTTCCTGCCTGAAACCTGAATAATGCAGTATAATATACAGCATAGCCAGTATCAAATATAAAATACCATCTTTTAAACAAGAAGGAAGGAAGGAAGAAAGAGATGAAGAAACTAAGGAAGAGGAGGAAGGAAGGAAGGGAAATGAACTTAAATTTCTACCACCAAAATAGAATCATTATTAAAATTTTACTGTGTTTATGTTTAAATTTTGTTTTCCATGCAGTTTTTATGTAGTTGTTATTGCAGCATGCATGCATTTATGTTTCCCAGTTTTTTCACTTCATTAAGTTGTCCAGACATTTTTTTTTAACATTGCTTGGTCTTCATAAACATTACTTTTAATGATTGAGTAATATTCAGTTGAAAGATCTTTCAATATTTTTGGTTGTAAGTGATGCTTTTTCCATATTTTAGTTTCACATATGATAGGTTCCCTGAAGTATGATTCTGGGGGTCAAAGGAAATGAGAATATTTTTATGCTCAGTTTTATTCACAAACTTCAATCAAAGGATTTTTATTTTAGAAGTTAATATTAATTTCATTCTTTAAGTTCAGTTCAGGTGCTCAGTCATGTCTGACTCTTTGTGACCCCATGGACTGCAGCATGCAAAGCTTCCCTGTCTATGACCAACTCCTGGAGCTTACTCAAACTCATGTCTACCGAGTTAGTGATGCCATCCAACTATCTCATCCTCTGTCATCCCCTTCTTTTCCTGCCTTCAATCTTTCCCAGCATCAGGGTTTTTCCAATGAGTTAATTCTTCATATCAGGTGGCCAAAGTATTGCAGTTTCAGCTTCAACATCAGTCCTTCCAGTGAACATCAAGACTGATCTCCTTTAGGACTGGTTGGATCTCCTTGCAGTCCAAGGGACTCTCAAGAGTCTTCTCCAACACCACAGTTCAAAAGCATCAGTTCTTCAGTGCTCAGCTTTCTTTATAGTCCAAATTTCACAACCATATGTGACTACTGGAAAAACCATAGCTTTGGCTAGACAGACCTTTGTTGGCAAAGTAATGTTTCTGCTTTCTAATATGCTGTCTAGGCTGGTCATAGCTTTTCTTCCAAGGAGCAAGCATCTTTTAATTTCATGGCTGCACTCACCATCTGCAGTGATTTTTGGAGCCCAAAAAATAAAGTCTTTCACTGTTTCCATTGTTTCCCCATCTATTTGCCATGAAGTGATGGGACCAGATGCCATGATCTTAATTTTCTGAATGTTGAGCTTTAAGCCAACTTTTTCACTCTCCTCTTTCACTTTCATCAAGAGGCTCTTCAGTTCTTCTTCACTTTCTGCCCTAAGGGTGGTGTCATCTGTGTATCTGAGGTTATTGATATTTCTCCTGGCAATCTTGATTCCAGCTTGTGATTCATTCAGCCTGGCATTTTGCATGATGTACTCCACATATCAGTTAAGTAAGCAGGGTGACAATATACAACCTTGACATACTCCTTTCCTGATTTGGAACCAGTATGTTGTTCCATGTCCAGTTCTAACTGTTGCTTCTTGACCTGCATACAGATTTCTCAGGAGGCAGGTCAGGTCGTCTGCTATTCCCATCTCTTAAAGGGTTTTCCACAGTTTGTTGTGATCCACATAGTCAAAGACTTTGGTACAGTCAATAAAAGAGAAGTTTTTCTGAAACTATCTTGCTTCGTCAATGATCCAATGGATGTTGGCAACTTGATCTCTGGTTCCTCTGCCTTTTCTAAGTCCAGCCTGAATATCTGGAAGTTCACAGCTCACATACTGTTGAAGCCTGAATTGCAGAATTTTGAGCATTACTTTGCTAGTGTGTGAGATGAGTGCAATTGTGTGGTATTTTGAATATTCTTTGTCATTGCCTTTGTTAGGGATTGGAATGAAAACTGACTTTTCCAGTCCTGTGGCCACTGCTGAGTTTTCAAAATTTGCTGGCATATTGAGTGCAGCACTTTCTCAGCATCATCTTTTAGGATTTGAAATAGCTCAACTGGAATTCCATCATCTCCACGAGTTTTGTTCGTAGTGATGCTTCCTAATGCCAGCTTGATTTCGCACTCCAGGATGTCTGGCGCTATTTGAATGATCACATCATCATGGTTATCTGGGTCATGAAGATCTTTTTTATGTAGTTCTTCTGTGTATTCTTGCCACCTCTTCTTAATATCTTCTGCTTCTATTAGGTCCATACCATTTCTGTCTATTGTGCCCATTTTTGCAAGAAATGTTCCCTTGGTATCTCTAGTTTTCTTGAAGAGATCTCTAGTCTTTAAGAAAACAAAGGCAGGCCAAAGGCTAACAGAGTTTTGCCAAGAGAATGCACTGGTCATAGCAAACACCCTCTTCCAACAACACAAGACTCTACACATGGACTTCACCAGATGGTCAATACCAAAGTCAGATTGATTATACTCTTTGTAGCCAAAAATGGAGAAGCTCTATACAGTCTTCAAAGGGGAGGTGAAAAACATACATGGTTATTTTCATAATTGTTTTGTTCCATATGGCTTTTGCTTTCTATGTATTTTTTCTTACTATTTTCCCCATCTTTTGTTTTCTAAACTCAGTGTCTAGGTTTCATTCATGACTTGTAAACATTCTTTTGTTTTACTACACTTGTGACTTTCTTGCAGTTTTCTTGCAGTTTAAATGCATTTTAAACTAATAATTATAAGTAAAATCATATTTTTAAAATACATTGTGCACTGTGGTTTTTTATTGCATCAGTTTTTGTTTTCAACAATATTGCCTTATAAAATATTTTTTATCTTGATAATTATTTGGGTATTCCCTTAAGTTTTGCTCCCGAGGCAAGCATCTCACGTGCCTCATCCTAATCACGGCACTGAACCTCATCTCTCATTCATTGTGGCACCTCCAGCCCTTAGCATGGTGCAGCGCCTAGAAGGTGTATGATACTTCCTGTTTGCTTGTTGCTTTGGTATACTATGTTACGTCTTTCATAGGGAGCATTTTGAAAAAGAAATTCTCTAGCTGGTTGGCATGAATCACTTCCCTGTACACAGAAACAGACTTTCCCATGCCCTCCACTGCCCACTGTCTGGGTAAATGAAGCATTTCTGAGGCAAAGGCTTTTGTAAATGTGCCTTAGAGCTCTCTGTTTGATTATGGTTGCCTTTCCTTACACAAATACTATCTAAATATTATGATGAGAAATAAAAACAAAACAAAAATACTGAAAGATGAAAAAGGAAAACCAACAATCCATTCTTCTTTCTCCAGGATTAAGCATTGAGCAAAAGTATAAAACAATTATGGCTTCACCTAATCGACTGCAGCTGTGCAAACAGACCGAACACACTGGGAGACGGGTGTCCCCCATCCTACACCATGAGCATCTTGATATCTGGATTTGTTTCACTTTGCCCAAGGCAAGGTGCGTGTAGGAAGAATGAAACCAGGCCCCTCGGTTGAAAGGGGAAGGGATATATCCTTTCTGAACAGTTGAACTTGAGCTTGAGCCCATAGGATTTGATTATGCTGAGGTTCCAATCTCCAGCACTCCCTTGTCCAGAGGAAAAGGACCATCAGGTGTCAGAACAAATCAGTGAAGATCAGAGCAGTGGTCTGCTTTCTAGGTTTCATCTTATATGGGAATTTTTTGTTTTTTGGTCAATGTATGTCAGATATTTTATATTTGTCTTGCTCTCATTTTATTCATAGAAGTATGGGTGGTTATCCTCATTCTTTAGATGAGGAGATAGGGGTTTAGAATGGTTAATGGTTGAAAGTTAAACAACTTTTCTAATTAGTAGTGTGGAATTTTGGACTTGGATCTTCATTGCTTAACCCTGAAATCCAGTTTTTCTATGACATCATGCTCCATAACCAGTTTTATCTTCAGAGCTCAGGAATCCAGCTTCTATCCTTTCTACTTACTAATATCTCCTACCAAACATGCTAAACCTTCAACCTCTCCTCCACTATCCTGTTCATAATTGTCTCTTTGTCTTATCCTTGTTATATGCCTCTTTCAGCAAAGGATTCCCTTGTGGTCTGATTTTTTTTTTCCAGAGCCATGGAGATTTAAGGTTAAAAGGAGTCTCCAGAAAGGGTTTCCACAAAGAGGATCAATGAATCTTTTTCATTTTTGTAAAATGCCTACCACTCTAGAGGAGCCCTTGGTACATAAGAAGTTACCAAATACCTGTGTGTTAAATAAATAAAATTTAAAACACACACAGAATCTTGATTTTTAAAGTTTTGTTTAATGAATTATTATAGTGATTTCATAAATTAAATTTTTACTAAAATTGTTGTTAGTGTTTTATCAGATCCTAGCATGATATACTACACTTAAGATTTCCTAGTTGAATTTTAATAAATAGAATCTTGGGTCTCCACCTGCTACAATGTTTATTAATAAGTATAATCAGGAAAATTAAAAACAGAACTACCATATGATGAAGCAATCCCACTTCTGGGTAATTTACATGAGGGAAATGGAAAAAAACTAACTGGAAATACTCTCTGCACCCATTAGCACATTATTCACAATAACTAAGACATGGAAAGAACTTAAATGTGTTCCATAGATGAATGGGTTAAGAAGATACAGTGCATATATACAATGGAATATTATTCAGCCATAAAAAGGAGAAATTTCTGCCATTCACAACCACATGGATGGGCTTGAGGGCATTATGCTAAATGGAATAAGTCAGACAGAGAAATACAAACACCATTTGATCTCACTTATATGTGGAATCTAAGACAAAAAACAACCAAACAATAACAACTGAGCTCATAGACACAGAGTTCAGGTTGATGGTTACCAGAGGTGGGGGATGGGTGGTGGGCAAAATGGGTGAAGGTGGTCAAAAGATAGAAACTTGCAGTTACAAAATGAATAAGTTCTGGGACTATAATGTGCAGCATGGTGACTCTATAGTTAATAATACTGTATTTTATATTTGAACTTTGCTAAGAAAGTAGATCTCAAAAGTTCTCATCAGGCAAAAACAAATTTTAACTATCTGTGGTGATGGCTGTTAATTAAACTTATTATGTGATCTTTTCACAGTATAAATGTATTGAATCATTATGTTGTACACCTGAAACCAATATAATGTTATTTGCCAATTATAGCTTAATTTAAAAGAAGGCCCTCCCTGATGGGATTATGGCAAGAGGAGAGGCTGCAGAGAGACTGTGATAAAGGTGCTCTTACACTGGCAGAAGACAATGCTTACTCCAAGTGCAGGATCCTTATTTGGCTTCTACTGGAAGCAGCTCTGGGAGATCCTCGAAGCAAGCAGTCTTGTGGAGAAAAGGATACAGAGGCAAACTTCTGCTTAAAAGGATAAAGAGCTTTCCAGCAGGTATAGCTGCCCAAAGATGGAATGGGCCAGCACAGAGAACAGTGAATCCATGTTCAAAATTATTTAAAGAGAATCCACACAAAGACCTGCTGGGGAAGTTGGAGAAGAAATTTCTATTGCAACTTGAAGTCCCTAGCTTATGAGTTCAAAGAATGACACCTTGCTAAAAAATACAAGTAAACAATGTGATAAAGAAAACTTTTAAGAAAGAATCAGTCCAGAATAAGCCAGGAAGTTTAAAGCATGGGTATGTATCTTGTCTGAACTAGACACTTAGCATCTGTGTGACATCAGGGCATGAGACACCGAGTCCAAAGGTCTGACCTTGGAATCAGAAGTCCCGACTTCTTTGAAATGCTTTTTGACCTTGGGCCAGTCCCTTGTCATCTCTGAGCCAAAGTTTTCCCTTATTTTAAAATAAATGAGATAATTGAGACACCTGATATATATCTCAGGTTCCAATGAACTCTAAAAAGCATAGATTCAGAGGTAGCGCGTGCTCAATATTAGGAAGAGTTCACACTCTCAGAGAGAGTGTATGTCAGCTTCGGAAGGTAAAAATGTAAAACATCCTCCTGCAAATGATTCCCTTCACACACATCCTAGATCTGGGTGAGCAGTGGTGGTAGTTATCACCCTTTCATATCCCAGAAACCCACAAAGAGTGACTTACATCCTCAGTCCTAGGGACGTTTTTGTGTGGAAACATGACTTGCAGGTTTTGAACCAAACCCAACAGAATGTTTCAGGTTTGCTCTTGGCAAAGGCCTTCTTTCCCTGCTCCCTAATAAAGGATTAGAAAGCCAAGAGAGGTCTCACATGGCTCTTCTTGGCTGTTGCCTCCCTCTTTAAACAATGGCTGGATGCGTTCTGTAGGAAGAAAAGGAAACATATGGATTGAATTTCCCCCAAGTGCACTGTGGCCTAGGAGTGGATTGGGGGCTGGGTGTGGGGGCAAGTAGAGGGGAAGGCTTTGGCACAGCACATAGGGGAACTTAGTGAAAACTGGGTCCCATGAGAAGTGGTGGGGTGAGGGCTGGGGGTCAATAACTAGCTGTGGCCAGGTGTGCTCTCAACTGGCCGCAGTGGGACAGACATTTCCAGGGGGCCCTTGGAAAAGGAGGACTAAGTAGAGTGATGTTGTCATGGGAAACAGGGAGAAGATGCGGTCATCAAGTCAGGCAGAGGCATCCAAAATTTCTGGAGTCCTCCAGGGTATGAATGTCGAGGGATCTTTCCTGAGGAAGGCAGGCCTTGCTCTATCCTATGCCTTGTGCAATGGGATTGGAAGTTTGAAATTTAATTAGGTTTAATCAGAACACCATTAAACAATGTGTGTGAATCCCACATCTCTTGCCAAGTTACTCAGAGCTCATCAAATGGAATGTCATGATGGGGCTTCTCATTGGCACTGCGGATGTATTTGCAGATGGCATCTTGGAGGGCAAGAAAGAGAGGTGGGGTTATTTGAGAGTT